ACTGTTTGATTCTTCTTGAGTAGTCTACATAAGATGAAAAGTTTAGGAATAGAACCAGTGCCAGATCTAAGCTGTCGATAACATAGTGTTACACATTTGGTGACTCGAGAAATACGAGAGCTCTGAGGAATTTCTGAATAACTGGTTAAAATCGTCGGTTTCACATCGTAGGAAGGCGACTTTGTAGTGAATTCCCTCCTAAATATGCGACTCGGCGTTAAGACGTGTAATAAGCTGTATAGTACTTCCACCAGTATCTCTGCCGCCGCCGCGACGACTGCGGCCGCAACAACATCGATTTCGAGGAAGCCTCTCTTTCGCTTTGGTGTTATTGCTGATGTACAATACGCTGACATCGATGATACTTATAATTACTCTCATACTAAGACCAGGTGAGATCAAAGGAAAACACCGAGTAGCTCCTTACGTTTTTGCTAATTACCACGAGAAGCTGCTAGTGTTTGTCAGGCATTACCGTCGTTCTGCAGAGGTTTTGAGAAACGCTATTGGCTGGTGGAATTCTTACCAGTGAGATAACAACATTGATATGTAGCCAAGCTACTTGAATTGATCGGCAGCAGATCCCCTGCTATTAACTTCGTCGTGAATCTTGGCGACTTGATTGACGGTCGCAATAGAGGGCTGAATATTCAAGCTCAGGCTATGAGAAAGATCATGCCAGAGTTTGATGCTTTGCACTGTCCTAAGGTGAGATACATCTGGTACGTCGAGGTATGAGTTTATGGTGTTATATAATCATATGATTAATTATTACTTATGATTATGTTGTAGACATGGTGTTACGTTATATGATATTCAGATGTTGATGATAATGGTTTGTCTGCTCTATTGCATTGAGTTTCCTGTAGTTACTCCACACGGTCGGCAACCATGAGCTCTACTGTTTTACTCGGTAAGCGGTGTGCTCGATCAACTGATGGGAACTACTGTGGTTGCTTCAGAGCTGCCTTGTCCGAGCATCGAATATTCCCCCCAAGTCGTCAGCAGTTTTCCCTCACTCGTCCTGATTCTCTAGGCCATGACGAATTCCCAAGTGGTGAGTCTGCCAACTCGCAACTGTTGCATTATTTGGTCTTCGTATGTAGGAGATTCCTCCTGTTTCTACTACTCCTTCAAGCCTGCAGACAACTGGCTGGTCATCGTTCTGGACCCGTATGATGTTAGTGTTATGCGACACGGCGGGGGTCGGCATGGTTATGAGCATGTAAACTATGTTGTTATTCTTCGAGACATATAATTTTCCCTATGGTCAGTTCAAGGGTGCCGGTCTGGACTCGGAAGCTTATGACCTTTGTCAGAGTCACAATCCTAATGACATTGGTAAGAAACGACTCAGATAGTTATCGTACAAGTAACCGTCGCGGTGAAGTGAGGAAAGTTGTGGACGCACTAAATGACAGAGGCAAATACGTAGATAGGAGACATCATTTTTCAATCTCCCATTGGTTTCTAATTCGAATTAGTGAGAATGGTGCGTTTTTCATTACTACGGTTTCAGGCGGCAAGAATGATTTCTTTGCCAATCTCACTGGACGTGAGTCCCGATGGGCTCCTGTGAACGGCGCCGTTGGTGAAGAGCAGCTCAACTGGCTTCGACATGTCTTGGAAACTTGTCATCATCGGAACACTAATGTGAGCCATGGTGACATTGATGTGATGATCCTGGTGCTGTAGGTTATCATCTTTTCTCATGTCATATTACACCCTGATGCAACTCGTAATCATAATTGTCGAGGACTCCTTTGGAATTACGATAAGGTTCTCGAGGTAGAGAGCTCTCCACGGGCCGGCTTGCTCGATTTGCCAGCTCAGTCTATCTATGAGTTCCCATGCACTCGGCTGGTTTTGGCAGGGCACATTCATAACGAGGTTTACCACCTGGATGATCACGGTGAGTTAGCGTTGATGATCTTGCTACTCAAGGGCGGAGGTTCGATTCTCGGTGAGAGCATTCTTTTGTAATTGCTCAGGAGTGCATCACTTAACTCTTCCAAGTCCACTGGAAAGCATTAAAGACGAGTGTTCCATCGTGGCTGAGGTGATGACTTCGGGTGACATCCATGTCGTACCACAAGGAGACATAACCGAACGCCTTCTACTTCATCAGGAGCTTAGATGAGGCCTCGCGGGAGGCCGCATCTCCTTGCGTTCAAATTCTTGTTATGTCAGCCCTTGGCGGTGTTTCGTTACTGTATGTGCGGGTCTTACTCGGAAATCATAGCTTATACTCTCCTTGAAGATGTTATATGGTATTCCACGAATTAGAAGTTGACGAGTGTGCCACTCGGTTGCCAGCCTCTTCACTTGATGAGGACTATGCAACAGGAGGCTCCTGTCAGGAGCTATCAGCGGTACAGCTGCAGTAGTAGGCCGTCACCATGGTGGCTTGCCGCTTATGATGATAACAGTCTCACGAGAAAAAAAATATTAGTTCGCGAACTTCCTGTTGAGGGTTGCGTTATGCAGTAGGAGGAACTCTGTTCGAAACAGTCGATAGTAGTCAATGTTACGGCTCTTTCATGTGGCTCGGCGGCGCTTCTCTCTTTTGAGTGAAGTCGCTGCCTCTCGACGTGGGTATTGCGACAAAGACTTTTACGAGCTTCTTGACGAACGACGGCAACTTAAGAAGTCGTCGAGGCCGCCCTACTTGAAACGGCCACTGGGGGATGAGACTCTACGACAAATTGTTGAGCTCCGAGATCTGCAAGAAAGGATCAACACGTAGGGGTGAGCTCTGAGAGATTCGCGAGGTCGGCGTGGCTGTTCAGATTCGAACAACGGCTGAAAGTGCTGAACGACGCAGAAAAGAAGGAGTTACAGAGCTTACTCGATGAGAGGGAGAATATACGCAGGGTGAGCTGTTGTTGGGGAAGCAAGTCTCGAGGGAATCTTCAGAGGAAGGCCACGTCGAAGCTGATGGACGAGGTTGGAGAACTTCGTTCGAAAGCTGCGGTTGGTCAAGTATGAGACTGTCATCATCGTATTGGATTTGAAGGGCCCTTTTCTTCAGATTTGGAGGAGAGAGTCGAAACCCCCTCAGAATCGGAATGAGCACGATGCTCGGCTACCCGTGGAGAAGGAGAAGAACGATGTCTGATAGTCATGAGAGTGTTTCTGATCCATACCTAGGATGTTGGGTTAACTGCGAATGTGTGTTTGGCACGTTTCCAGTCCTTGCTCCGAAGGTGTCGAGTCGATCGCCGTTGGTCATAGGTGTTGAGTACATGTCAACTTCACTACGATGTCGTCCGCACTGCACTGAGGTCAGTCACTTCTTACCACGATAATTCATACCCTCCCTTGAGACGATGCTCGCCACAGTGAGAACTCCATCATGGAAGTGTCCTCTGCCGTCCTCCATGACCGACCTAGAGCGGGTACGGCGGCACGCGGAAGGAGATAGTCCTGGAAGTGGTCGTTGGTCCGAGTAATTGCGAGGTTGCCTTTGAAGATCTCAATCACCAACTGGTTGACGTCCCGAGGTACCCAGCGTTCGTAGTTTCAAGCGTGGAATCAAGTCTGGCCGATGATGTTGCGGCGGCCAAGTTTAGAGAGGAGCGACACGGGACTGAACGGCCCGAAGAGTTTTCGACGGAACGAGATCTTGCATATGATGGAAGCAGCTGATAGGTTGTCACTGACAACTTGCTAATGATCCTGCTGGCAGCAGGTCAAAGAAAAGTGATCATAGTATCGCCCAATAGCGATGTGAAGTCTGAGGCCTAGGCTGATTATAGCCATCCATTGAGACATGCATAATGCCGATTCATCAGCTGAGAACTGCAGACCTGTTTTGAGCCCATGGAGATGATTCGTCATTCAGGTGCTGCAGCGGCTCCCTTTCTACGGTGCCTCGTGCTCAATGAATCTTCTTCATTCCCGAGTTGCCGAGGTCTTCTTCTCTAGCAGAGCGAAGTGCGATGGATTTGATGGTTTCCTCGATCTTGACCCCCCAATGCGCATTAGCCACCGTTCACTGTCGCGCAGCTGACTAAGGGGGAATCCTGTGCGAGGTGTTCCTTAGCCTCCTCGGAAAACTGACCCCACTGCCAGGCTTGCATACGGTATGTCCTTTTGGTATTCCTATTGTTGTGTTACTGTGATTCATCATGACAAACTTGAACATCAAGTTCCTTCAATGTCGACGCCCGGTATATTCGAGTCGTTGAAAGCGCGCCTCAAGTCGGACGAACAGTGTGTGGAGGTCAGCTGCGATGACTATGAAGTGAAGCCGGCTCCAGGCATAGTGTAAGGGACTCCATCGACGAGATCCTAGTAACGCTGTTATTTGTCAGGTATCCTCCTAATCGTGCCGAAATAGGAAGAGCATATTGGCGATATATTCACAGTCGGGCTCCTTTCGCAGTGAGTCGTGATGATTTGCCTCCTTGCTCCCCGCCATGAGTTTCATCGAGGTTTTTCGGAAAATCCTTTTGTTAGGTGGTGCCAGGTGGCCAGCCCAGTTCAGCTGGTCCAGAGAGGCCTTGCCCTACTGAGATGGATTGGTTAACCTCTTTGATTGAGGTATACCCTTGTCGCCATTGTGCCGATAGTTTTGTTGACATTTGCTGTGAGATGCCGCCTCAGGTGAGCTCTCATTTCTATCAAACTGATATGTTCAGCTGTTGTTAGGTTTCTTCGACTGATAAATACACATTGTGGTGGTGCAAAGCTCATGATGCCGTGAATTCCGAGCTTAGCAAGCCCTTGTAAGCGGCCCTTACTTTGCAGCGCTGATATCAGTGGGAAAAGAGAACTGTCAGGTTCGGCGAGAGGTGCACGGCGAAGTTCCTACCAGCTATGCGAGAGGCAGCTAAGAGAGGCTTGACACTAGACGAGTATGATTCTTTAATAGGCGGTAAATAACTGTTTCGATAGCGGCAACAGAGTCTAGCTTCACAGCGTGAGGGGGGGGGGGATTTGGTCGGAAGAGGTATCCTTGTCTAGAAGCTGACATACCTCACTTTCAGCAAATCACAGCAAAAGCAATTTGATATCATCACTCGTGACAGACGTATAGTCCTCGCTAGAACACTTGAAAGGAGTTAAGAACTACAACATGAGCAAACCAGTAAAGCAAGGCCTATGAATAACTTACCCCGTCGTAGTAAACTCCATAATTTACTTCAATCGTCACATTGGGTGACAAGAGCACTTATAATCTATTGGCGCATGCACTATCGACGGGTTCATATACAATCTATTGACGCATTTTTCATCACCGGACGCCCTTCAAACGCAAGGACCAAAAGAACGACCGAAATGATTAGCCATGCTGCGTTATGAATTCACATGGCCACACTAGCAGCATGACATGCTTTTCTCAATTCCATCTCAAGTGTGGACCTCGGGCTACTTCGACACACGACGACCTGACAATATTCATTCTCAGACGGGCAGGAGTGGACGGTACGGCTCACCTCCTGTCCTCGGCGACGCTGAAGATTTCAATGTACTTTTCATATCGAGCCGGCGTAACTGAACAGCTATACTCAGACGGTCGGTGATGCGGTTCTGTCACGTCTTGACAGTCTCGGAGTACACTATCACCAAGTACGCTGGGCGAGCGAGGGGAAAGCTGGGAGGCCACTGAGGGTCGAGGTGAATGGACTTGGGCAATGCGTGAGCCATTCGAAGGACCTAGACAGACTGCGGTCGAATGAGCGTACACAGAGAGTTGTGACCTGATCTATAGGGCGACATATTCTCCTCTATCGACATGAGACTGCTGACGGATTGCTAAGGAAAGGAGGAGTATTCGTTTTCAACCCGTCGCAATAGTTTACTCTCCTGGTGGTACCACGCGGACCACCACGTGGGCTGACCTGCCTACTATGGGGTGGCGACCTTCCCATAGGACTCGAACCTATCATAGAGAGTTTCATATCGACGCACAGAGAGTAGTTACACCATACCGAACGTTGACCCCGGGGAGAAGCAGCTCGAGAGGGACCCTCGACGAGCGGAAACCTGCTGATGTACGTCATAGGAATCCTGTGGCGCAGACACAGGCTCACTCGAGAGGTTTCAAGGTCACCATAGCCCAGGAAGGAGGTACCAGGGGAGCGACTGTCGCTTGATCTTCGATGTGTGGTGTTGGGACGGAAGGAGCACTGCATCAACTAAGACGACTCTGGATCATGAACAACTCCGCCGGGACCACTCGGACAGCCTCCCTGTCCTTTTTATGCTTCTCCTCGATACGCTGTGCTTCTCGATGAGCCTTCCTTTCCTGCCTGTGGCGAACATCTGCGTCCACATTCCGTTTGAATTTTGCCATATCGAAGGATCTGCAGCGATGCGAGTATCACGGACAATCCAAGATAACAGAGTGGTCACCTGCGCGCCTTCCGCTGGTTTTTGTGGTTAATTTCCTCATCCTCGACTCGTCGCCGCTCTTCCTTGCGGACCCTAGCCGGGGTACTCATACGACCACACATATCTCTCATGGAGCTCACCGTTGACGTTCTTGACGATTGAGCGCATCCTGGAACAAGGCCTCGAAACGGCTGCCTCTGCGAGGACCATAGGAAGGCAGTGCGGAAGCCAAAGACACTTCTGGTTGGAACTGAATCGTACTGGGTTGGGACCTGCCTCGCTGTCAACAGGATGGGATCAAATCTGATCTTACACTCGGCTAGAATGACTTCCACCAGATTTCCTCCTTTCCTTATCTGGTTCCACCACTTGAACGATTGGTGTATGGCAGGGTACCGAGGCCGTCTCGCTAGCTGCAGGGGAATTCCTCGAAAGCACCGATAGGGTTGAAGGGGTCCCTTGTGGTGGGTCTGAGGGACGCTCAAGGCGACCCACATGAGACTGTTACGATAAGCAGCACTAGTCTGTCCGAGTGTCGCCTTTCCTATCGAGCCCTTCTGGTCAGCATACTTCGGGAGGGCAGGGGAGAGTTGCTTGTCAACCGTCGCCACATGCTGGCTCGGTGCCGCCATATGGGGAGGTCGAACTACTAGCTTCAACGGTGGAGGTCTGTTGATGCCACCATGAACGCAGAGAAGGCGACTCGTGGGCTCACCCTTGTTGACCAACTGCTTGCATAGGCCTTAGTGATGCAGGACCTTGTGTGAAGGCCCTGGGTGTATCCCTAGGGGCCCTGTGAGTGAAGGGTGTGACTGTAGGCAGAGATGACGAGTAGACTGGGGAGAACGGCGGCGCGTTGACTGGGCGGAGGGAAGCTCCACGAGGCCTGACACTTGCTGTGTACGACTAATGGTCGTGAATGAACATCATTCTATCACGAGTTACATTGTGAGAGCTGTCGGTTGTTGTGGAGCGGGAGGCCTCCAAGGCTGATTTTGCTGCTGGAATAAACCAGAGTATGGCATTGGAGGTGAGGGATGCCACATCTCAGCACGCTGCTGACAAATTGCACTACGTGTGAATTGACATACTCGAAACCACAGTAATAGTGGACCAAGTCCCAACAGTAAAGTCATACATGCAAACACGAAGGAAGCCTAACTCGTTGATGTGGACGAGGCCGCGGCTGAAGCCTTCAGCTTGGAAAAGTAGGCTCCGTATCTGAGGGGGGCAGAGGTGAATTTGTGAAATAATGTTCATCGTTGACTTGTCCATTCGGCGTTTCAATATGATCTTTTTCTCTGCTGCTTCTCGTTGGTCAAGCAAACTCCACTTCTTAGGGTTTAAAAGGCGATCACGGGCCTTTTCGAGTGACTGAAAATAAGATGGACAAGTGTCTGATGTGGCCGGCTCGTGTTTACTCTCAGTGGGCCTTCTTGCCACGGTGGGTTCTTCTGCCCGAAAATCTGAAACAGTACTTTCTTTGAGAGTGAGAGCGAATAACGTGGATGATCGAAAGCTAACGTGATGGAGAATCAAATGCACTTCGACGTACACCTTTGGTTGGCCTCCGAGTTGATCTCAGGAGTGCCAACTTTTTCTCCCGCGTGCTCGTGCCTCTCGCTAGCGGTGTACAGTTCTTCATCGTTTCTGCCAGCAAGGCGGCCTCGTTTGCAAGGCCGCTATGGGACTGAGTGACAGTCGATATGCTCAGACGTTTACTTAGAGATTCTTACCTCCATGAATTCGGACATAATCAGACTAGGACTGAATGAAGTTGCTAACACGTCTCGGAAGCTTGGCGGCGGTGGTTCACTGTTCGCTCTAGGGCGTTTAGTGACACTCTTCTGAGATTCTCGCATGCTGGGTGCACACTTCTCTCGCGTCGATTTACTTTTCCTCGTCTGCTTGTCGTTCCTGCTGCTACTCGCTTCACCGCGATAGGGCGCGGCTCGAGATATCCAGGAAGAGCGTAGACGCATCCTGAAGGTGTGATCACTGTTGTCTATGGCAGTGCGAACCCACCCGAACTGGACGACTCAGAGCTCATGCGTGGCCGAGGTAGGGCCGCGTAACCGCACCACTTAATAGGAATTCCTAACACCTTAGGGAGCTCGGGTTCAACCAAAGCAGTTACGGGCATTCCAATTTCAGATAAGATTAGCTGTAAGGGGTTGAGACTACTGGGATCCTAATAGGTTTACATAGGGAACCTGTCAGAGAGCGTTAACCTAGACGACAGGTTCTAATGTTGAGGTATTCATAAACAATTTATGTTTATGTTTCAAACATAAACATGAATTGTTTATGGATGTTATATATGAATACAAACATAATGGTAGTACTCATGTATAACATTCATGAACTATTCATAAATTATGAATTGGCCGAGACTGGCTGAGTTCAGTCGTAGATTGAAGTTTTCCCCTCATTCACTCTGGTTCTCTATCGACCTAAGGCGAATCTAAACTATTATGCGATGCCATGACACCTCTGATAGTTCAAAATCATAATTCTTATACATTCTGGCAGTTTCCGAATCATAACTCTCCCCCCTGTCACACGGTTAATCTGTGAAAGTGGATAAATGCAAGTGAACTACATTCCCGATAGAACTTCAGTCTCACACACTGACCTGATTGTCAAATGTCTACACGAACAACGGGTTCTTTAGAGATCCTCTACAGAACCCATTGTTGGCGAAAATCTCTACTAGAGATTGAATCCGAATCGACTTTCAAGTTCGACTCCGCGTGCCTGAGCACGAGGTGCGAAAGAGAGGTAAGTTTGGAGATTTGCAACGCATGACAATGTTTTAAAGCGAGGAAATATTTCCGACTCAACACGCTTTCGCGCATTTGTGTAAAATTCACTCAAGCGTTTATGAGTGCTATTCCGCGCTCGCCCAGAAAAATCATTTCGATGGTCCGCCTCCCAAAAACGTCAGAATGTCCAGCCAGGAGCGTCTGAGGCTTCGGCGGCTCATGCCGGCCTCTAAGAAACCGGTCAAGCGGTAATATATATTAACCTCTATAGATATACGATTATAGTAATATCTACTAATATTATCTATCCCTATTTTTATGAGTTCATCAACCGAAACGATGCTGAACGGGTGGTTCACCACGTAAACCACAAGTTTTCGGTATAAGTCAACGACAATACCAGCAGAAGCCTTATAGGGATGTATGCTTTGTTATACTATAGTGGATGCGGTGACAACGACTGGAACCGATTCTGCTACTCCTCGATTAACGTCAACGAGATCTCATCAAAAAGCCCATCCGCATAGGCTTGATGGAAGCACGCGCGTCTGAGGAGTCGTATGGGGTCTTGATGATACTCGGGAGGATCTCAAGTTGATATGTGTGAATTCTCTAAAGTTTACTTCCGATTTGGCACCGTGCGGCTGAGGTAAGTCTACTTGTTTTGGGTGATTTTTGGTGATAATATATTTTTAGGAAAGGAGGTGAACAATTCGATTTACCGCAGCCATATTCCCTAAGGCTATCCGGAGCGAGATTCGACACATCATCGGCCACAACGAGTCGGTCTGACACCAGCAGAACATATACTACGAAGGGATCACGATAGTGCGAGGTTGTTAAAAGATAGCAACTTAGAATTCATAATGGCGTACAAAAAGGAAGTGTGGGGGAACCCTGTTTGTTCGGTCAGTGTAGGAAGAAGTAATATATGCCTTGGTGATGATGTAAATGGTGTGTTTTCGGTGCAGCTGTCCCAATGCATCACAACACTGCGGGAAGTTATGAGATACCACTAAGTCTCGAATGCTCAGTGTTGGATAAGGAGTGTATCGGTATACTCCTGGAAATGACAAAGGATTTACTAGAAGCCTATGCTAGCATATGATTTGTAACAAAGGCATGTCTGGGAGAATCGGACACAATACCACATTTTCTGCAAATCTTGCCGAATCGGGACTCCCGGCCGAACTCGAGCTCAAGACCGCCGAGAAGAGCATAAGGCAGTTCCTCGAAGGTCTTGATTGTGGTCTCCCGGGCTCCTGAAAGGGCATTCGCGAACCCGTTACGGTGATAGGTTGCAGAAGTGGCCCTCTGAACTACCATAGAGTGCTCGGACTGGACATAGATGACCTTGTGGCTTTCAACGACACGTGGCTGAATTCACTGGCCTCGGTATAGGGCACGAGGATGCTATGCAGAGCTTGTGGGAAGAGGTAGTAGTTGTGAGAAGTATTTTACTGTGTAGGGTGATGTGCTCTTATACATGAAATTGTATTATTATTCTCCGCATAAAGTTTTCTTTGTATCATCTGCTGTAGTACTGTAACAACATTATAAGAAGCTTTGTGTTAACAGTCCTGGAATAGTCTTGGGGGTCTTCTCCTCCTCCGCTCGGGTACTGTCAGGAGCAAGTCCTGCTTGGCCGTCCGGGTTGAGCATTCTCTCGTGACGAGCTTGTGTATGGCAGCTGAGTGCTCTCGATGTGGTTGTCGGGGTGATCATCATCATTATCATCTTCTTGTATGTGCTCATGTCCTCCCCAGAATCCATGCCGTCTCTGTACACAACACAGTGAGCTTCCATTGGCCGAAATTGGTCTTGTGTTCGACAAATATGAACTTGCGTTTCCGAATTCATGAATTTTATTAACGAATTTGAACTTTCATTTTCAACCGGTTTACGAAAATCAAACTTTCATTTCGAATTTGAACTTTCATTTCGTGAAGAACTCCTTCGGAAATCAAATTTCTATCATCTGATTTGTTCTTTCACTTGCTGAATTTGAGATTAAAAAAGTGTAGAAAAACCGAATTTTCGTCGGTGTTAGTGAATGCCATATTAAGAGCTGATTTACATATGCATATCCGGATGACCTTGAAAGCCTTGGAGAAGGGTGAAGTCCTGAACATTTTTTATGTCCGAAAATCAGTTAAAGTAGAGGCAGCAACTTTCAAGGTTTCTTCATTGTCATGCTAAACGCTGGACATTTGTTGTGTCCGAAAATCAGTTAAAGTAGAGGCAGCAATTTTCAAGGTTTCTTTATTGTCATGCTAAACGTTTCTTCATTCACATCCACAAACTCCTCTGCATCGTCATCCCGACCCGACAACCTCGACTCGATAGTGGACGTCACCAAGTTCCTACAAGAGGAGTTGGGTCGCACAAGTCGCCCTATAGATGACTTGAGTGAAGAGGACGTACTCTCAGCTAGCCCCCAGGCTGCAGGCAGCAATCGCTCTAGGTTGGTCGTAGCGGCGGCCACTGGCCTTAGTGATAGCGGTTGAGTCAGGTCCCAGTCGACCCTACAGTATCATGCTGTTGAGCCCCACTCTTTGAGGCAGAACCTGAGATCTGCCAGACTTCCGTTCGACCTAATGGGTAGTATTTTTCATAGTTAAATCACAGAAAAACTACACGTGTTTGTCGTATAAGGTGAGAAATATAAAAAAAGCAATGGTGTATTTATACTGCATAATAATACAATGCCAAGAAATTTGATTATATGATTTATAACATACTTTTTCTACAGCTCAGCGACTGTAATAGCAACTCAGCTACCATAAAAAAGAGTTCACCCACTGCTTTGATGAATCTCGAGTTGTGGGCCTTTCGTTCCGATCATACTTGTTGATCATATACTAGGGCTACTGTCCATACGCATATTACGTACACTAGGACCAAGGCATGGTCTCAGGTGCCACGATGGTAGGGCCAGTAGCTAAGCCAAAGCGAGCGGCTTGGAACCGAAAATTAGCGACTTTTATTCGTATTGGGAGAGTCACGGCTCGAGACTTTCCCAGAAAATACAAGCTGATACAGTACGTTGATTCACTTCGAAATCCGGTTATGAAAATGTGCTTCCTAAATTCAGGAAAACTTCGGATGTCTGCGTACCGGGGGTCGGTAAAAAGGGAGTGTGTTGTTGGAAACCCAGCCGGCCTCAGCATATTCGTCTGCAATGGTAAGGTTCGCTGTAAGTAGTTTTGGTTTCCTCAGCTGAGCCACATTGTGAGAATTTCCCCGGGGTAGGATTGTACAAAAAGCAAAGAAAATTTCCCAAAATTACCTCAGAATTTCCCAATTGTTATTAACGCTTGTAGTTGACCATATGCGTATTCCTTCACGTTGATAAAGAGTGTGAAAAAATATGCACATAATCAACTCCATGTGTTAGTGACAATATGAAATTTCTTGGAATTTCTACTCGAATTCGTGCGTAAATTAGTGAGAAAACACCTGAGCTCAGCCGAGGAAAGCGATCATATATTCTTCGAACAGAGTCAGCGGGAAACTCCGTCAGGTATTGGCCGTCTAGTCTCACTCCAACATTGAAAACTAAAAAAGATTTCCAAGGCTTCAATAACATCGAGGAAAGTGCCGCGTGGTATCGAGCCCTGCAAGTAGATATCATAATCTCCCTCACTGACCGTCAGCAGTCTTTGTTTTAGAGCGACCAGTCGTCACCAGTGATTCTCTATTTCCACGGCGGCTCCTTTGTCATGTGCACTCCTCACTGTATGGCATACAAACCGTGGATAACAGAGCTGGCTCGCACTACTGACTCATTTCTGTGTGCTCTAGACTACGACCGGCCGCCGGAGACAGGCCTCGCCACAGTAGATCACCTCTGTGAAATGCCAGCGTTCATAGTTGTTATGTGTAGGTCACCGAACAAGGAGTAGAGGCGTACACTTACCTTGTTAACGAGATGGGTATTGCTTCGGACCGTATCGTCATTTGTGGTGATTCCGCTGGTGGCAACTTGGCACTCAGTGTCGCCCTAGCGATCCGTGATAGAAAGCTACCCCTAGCAGGGGGACTTGTTTTATTGTCCCCTTGGGGCGACCTTAGTAATACGGTGGTGGTCGTATACTCCTAAGAGTATACCCTCAGGTTTGACAGAAGACCAACTGCTCAGCGACAATGCTTTTTACGACTTCCTCCCTATTGAGCTCATCTACAAATTCGCTAATTTCTGTGCTGATGCCTCTGGGGTAGTCGCGACTAGCTTCTCCTCGAGTGAGATCCATATAGTACCGCCTTCAGGAGCCGACTACAAGCCCTGTGGTTTCCCCAGCTCTGGCGAAGTCTCTCGATCTCGGCATTCCGATATACTGTACATTCGGCGAAGTTGAGGTTCTGAGATTCTCTATTGAAGACCTCTGCAAACGGTAGGTGGTTTTGTTCAGAGAATCATTCAGAAACCTATGATGTTCCCGAGGGGGAAATCATTTGGAATCTTTCACATGGCTAGGAAAACATTCTTCAATCAGTTCCCCATGTGAATGTCACTTTCTTCATTATTATCAAACTCTGGGGGGGCGTTACCAGATGGTTCTCTTGTGATGGTTATTATTATTTCTCCTCCGTAGATTCATCCGTGAGAACAGCAAGCCCGTAACGGTTCACATGATAATGGACATGCCCCATGTACAGTGACAAGGAAGAACCGTTCCTTTGTTTTATCATATCTACTTCAGGATTGTTGCACACTGCTCGAGACCGGTCAAGGGACCATCAAAGAGGCGATAGCGGTTGTCGCTGGCAGAATCAGAGATATGGTCATCACTGCTGGCCCCGGGCCTAATATGAGAATTCTCAATCCTCCGGTTGGAAGGTCATTCGCTGCACCTATCTACGGTGTGAATGACTTAGCCACCGTGTAGTCCACACAAAGTGTTAATAGTAACCACCTTGTCCAAGTGTTGTTCTCCCCTGTCACTTTGCCTGACAGGCACTGCCTGCGGCACCCCTTGTCCCTAGTGTTTCTAACTTCTGTGGAACTGTGTTCAGTTGGGGATGTTATCCGAATTAGCCAAGTTTGTCCAGCTGAAGCTTTGTTTATCCGTGCTGTGGTTATCGAGGTGAAATATTGTAGTTTCACCCGTTTAACGTGAAGTGGTGTAACACTCTATGTAGATTATAGGATGTGTATGCTTAAGCGACCGATCATACAATTCTTCTTCCCGAAGTGAATTATGAAATATCTTTTTCAGTAGTGTTTCTCATATCACGGGTGAAACTCCACCGTATACGCTTTTAGCCGGGTCTAGATATTCTTGAAGTTTCTAAAGTGAAATGAGCGCATCTCACACAGAGCCACCACCGGCTCACTCGACATCCATATCGTCGTCTCCTGGTGTTGTTGATCCAGCCCAATACGTGTGTGAAGAGGACCGCAGGTATTCATCCCCTGGGGATATCGAATACTCGAGCATTCATTGTATCAGATTCCTCGATAAATTAGGCCGTCAGCTTTTGATAGCAACATTGTTCTCAACTACTGGAGGCATTACTCTCGGGTCTAAGTTGAGTAGACGAGCGGCCCTACAGGGAGCATCAAAAGTTGCGGTCTACGCTGGTGGTAGGTTACACTAGCATCACATAGTTGAAAACTCGCTGGAAAAATGCCCCCTATTTTCAGCGGGCTTTGGTACTCCCCTGCTCTGCCTTGGAGCCCTCTATAAATACCATCGATATCGACATAAGGATGTACTCGATAGAGTAGAGGAGTCCTTACATAGACTCAGCAATGATATGCAAGAAGAAAGGCAACGCACTGGGAATAATCCTCAGTTGATGAATTTGTAAGTTCACTCTGAACCGCTCCAATGCCTCGTGAGCATTTTTGAGATACTCTGAGATCTTGCCCGAGAGTCACAGACGTGCAGAAATCCTTCCGACTTATCGCATTCTCCTTATTGGAACTTAGTATCATCCAATTACTACAATAGCTGTGTGTGTATGCAGCACTTGTATATACTGTAGCGTGAGTACTAATACTGCATCGAATGCTACAGTAGATACTATAGTAATTTTATATGCAGCTGAGTTGTCGGAGAGGATCAACTTCGGAAGTTTTCCTTTTGCCTTAGAGAGCGCATCAGCCAAGTATCAAAGGTCATTCCTCCTCCTCCGAGTTACTTCAATAGTAGCATTGGAGGGCTCAATAATGCGGCAACTAGCATGAACAATCACTACTCGGCGGACGCCAGTAGTTACTATTCTATTCCCTCTGCTGGACCGACAACTACAATACCCTCTAGTATTGCCTAATACGTAGTGTTTCAGATAAAGTGTTTGGAGAGGTTTAGTTTTTTCGGAGTGAGAGTTGGGGTGGAGGCTCGAACGCTGAGCAGAAACTTGTATCACACGATCAAGTCTATCGGCGACTATTCTAACATGACACTCACGATTATGAATTATCAACGGATGCTCGATCACTATCATCGTGAGATAATTGTCGATCTTGTGAGAAGGTTGATATTAACGCAACCGGACGAGCACGTAGTGGAAATATAATATCGTTATAGTTAGTTGGATTCTCCACATTTAAGACCGTCGATATGCGCGGCTCTGTGGTAACGAGCTGTCGCTTTTTTTAAGATTGGCACCCATTCTAGCACGTATGGATCCCCAACACGAATAGATTGTTTGAAGTAAGCATGTATATTTTGTCAAGGGGGAGCGCTACGCATGTCAAGTCAGAACTATGGAACCGTGGATCAAACACTGAGGAGCCGAAGCATGGGAATATCGATGTGCCAGCGAGCAGAGAGATACGAGAGCCGGCGCAGAGGAAGACACGTGGCGCTATCGGATACATGTGTGAAATATAACACCAATTCGGCTGTGTGATCGTGCCGATGATGAGGCAGCATTCTGAATAACCCGGGCCCGAGAGCTCTGTTATTTCCAGTGTATGGTATCCGAGATGCACTATTTCTACTCGACCCTGGTCCGCCTCTTGTAACGGATTCAAGAAGATCTTTGATCCTGGTGGAATTTCCCTTACAGTAGAAGCCTGGCATGAAGAAGGCGGGCCGCCAGCTCTATTTCAAAAATCGTACAAGTTGTCTCCAATCTCCACACAATGAACAGCTTACCGTAATCGGTGAACATCGTGGGCCGACTCGTATAGTTGTTCGCTCCGGAAGGCAGACCCATGATAATATAATTCTCTTCTACTCTTCTACCCGATACATTGATAATCACAAGTTGTGGGCTTCCTTCATATAGGATAAAGAGTCTATCGAGACTCTCATTATAGTGACATGTTATTCTCGATGGGAATCTTTCCGCTCTGGTTAGAATCGGCTTCGTTTTGATCGCGCCAGAGCTCCCATGCACGATAGTCTTCAGAGTAATAGCATGCCTCCTTAGAACACGATCTCGAATCCTCACCTTCGAGAGAACTCCAACTAGTGAGCTGCCACGACGGAAGATGCCATCAAGTGGACCCATAGGCACCAGGGAGAGGGAGACTTCCAAGGCACCTCTACGATCAATGAACTGCTTCAAGATGATGCGGAGCTCTTCCATACCCAAACCATCCTTGTCGAGTAAGAAGTCTAACATCATAAACCGTAAGGCCAGTATGTGGTAGGGGTCTATTGTGAGGTTACTCATCGCTAGGCATGAATCGGATGAGGAGAGTGAATGTCATCCATGTTGCGCGTACGTGCACTCTCACTGTTGTGGTCAAAGAGCATCAGCATGGAGATTCGGGTCCACTCAAGCTTTGCAAGCGCCTACTCAATGCAAGACTATGGAGACTATTCTTCAACACCTAACAATAGGTGCACCTCAGATGGGATATGATACCCACAACATCTAATAGCTCACAGCCTTGGACGCTATTCCTCCTGGACGGCGCTAAATCCGAAAATTTACAAAAAAAACCCATCCCGAGAGCGGAGCGGAACAAAAGGAGGTAGGAGACCTTTGGATAACAACTGTGAAGGCCTCACACAGCGTATGCTACAGAATGTTGTAATCCTGTCCGCAAACTACTATGCGGTGGCAGACCCTTATACATGCCCTTATATGACGCCCTTCACGCTGAATTTCATGGCGCGTGAAGGTAAGGATTGCTTTCGACTATGCCTCGAGATCAGCATGGATATTGACAACATTGAACACCGCAGGAGGCAAGTCTAGAAACATCTTCACTGCCTCACTTGGCCTCTGCCCAATCTGGAAGGTAACCAACTGAAAATGAACGAGGAATCTCTGGCGTCTCGACCCGCTGGTCGAACGCTTTCAAATTGGGAATGACGATGATGGGATATCCGATACTCTATGATTACGATAAGCTGTTGTATCATACAATAACATTCCCATGCCACTTGTGTCGGTGACAGTATGAGATTTCTGAGGAAATTTTGGAAAATTTCTGCTACCTCCAACCCGATTCGTATATACATATAAACTCGTATGATTAGTAAGGAAATTCCTGAGCTCAGCTGAGGAAAGCGAGCATATATTCCTCCAACACTGTTCCCAGTTCTCTTACTGTGTTCTCGAAAAAATTGAATCATGCGAGGAACAGCCCGTGATGAGAGCACTGGCAAGGAGTACCTGTCATACTATTTTGCTAATTCTTAGCGGAGCGATGCACTCACGTAATGACGAGGATGAGGGGGACATCATTCCTAAGGCCGTTACAAGCTGCCATTCCAACAGTACTTTCCATTTTGGCTGATAACAAGTCGTCCTCTTCGGGGAGGCTCTGACGCCCATAGAGGAGAGGCGGGTAAAACGCGTGGATCTTGAAAATCATTTGTAAGTGGGAAAGTTGCATAAAATGATATCACTACATCAAAGTGTATGCCTAGCCAGTCCACTCCATCACAGAGAGCCCCCTGCCCTTTATCAGCTGGGGAATAGGCTTTTATCATACCCTTAACATCATCAGCTAGCCGACCTGAGATGAAGTGTCAGTACCGTCGATGCACGGACCCCTAGGGGAGTGTTGCCCGACTGTAATCTAGAGGAGTATCCTCCGACGTTATAACTTCGCTGGTGGTGGTTGTTGAATTATCAGCCTCGCCGGGCAGTGGTGCAGTGCTCGCTATGATTCTACCTAAGACAACAACACTATCATCGAAATCAGCTCTTCCGCATCTGGATGTAGTATTCTAAAAATGTTTAATTTCACGGTGGATCCAGAGGCGTGGAGGGGAGACTTTTTTCTCCTGAAATTTCAAAATTTGCTATTTCAACTGCAAACAACAACTCTATTTATTCCTACACTGAAAATGTTTTAGAAAACCAATTAGAATTTTCAATCCATTCGAGAAATACCAGTATCGCCATCGAACATAACACCAGATGTCCATTCGTCCTGTCGGAGCAGAAGTGATCGGACCTGAGCTGGATCTAGGTCCATATAATACGATAACCCGAACTGTTGATGTCGACCTCATTCCCAACTACAAAACTCAACAGACAACCAAGCAAGGGAAGACGAATTGTGACGAGCCACATGCTGTCAGCAGTTACTCCACTAGGGGCGTTAGTCGGCGTAGTAGAGCCAGGGTTGATGCCAGTTGCAGAGGTCTCGCCTATGACATGTCCCAAAGTCCCTGTGGAGACTCTGTGGGGGGTAATTCCATTGCCACTACCACTACCCTGGAGGGCATAGGGCGATACCTTCTCCCTCTGTGCATGTGGGTCCATACTCCAGATCGCAGAGAATCCACGCAAATGTTCAGGACTGATGACGGATAATCCCATACCACTCCACCGCGAATATATCAGCTTACTAATAATGACATAGCATGTCTGCTATGTAATGGATAGTATTGGCAGGTTTGCTTGTCTCTATCTGCTGCTCGAGCCGGGCGAAGAGCTCGTGGACAGCTTCCATCTCATCGTATAGATAGGCTGAATCACGTTACAGATCGCCACAGCTGCTCACTTTAACGGTTACGCCTCAAGCTCCGTACCGTAAAATTACGGCGCCGTAACGGGTCTTACGGAGATGCAGAGGAAAGAACAAGGATTGATAATTCAAGTCGCCTGAATCTATTTCATGTGAATGCGAATCTGGGGATGAGGCCGGCTTGGCAGTTCCGGGCCAGCCTGGGAGTAAGACGGACGGAATTTGCAAAGGAGACGAGTGGTAAATGCGAAACCAAATGTTACTCTCTCAGCGGTTCGGTTGAATCCGAGCCACAGGAAATGAGTTTAACGACTATTTGAGTTATCGTGGAGTGCATTACAGCGAATCTTTCCGCCACAATTCCAAAAAAGCAGTTCAGCACCAACCGTAAAGTCGTAAGGCTTCCGTAACCGTAAAGTGCTCACGTTACGCACGCCGTAAAAAACCGTTACGTTGTCCATCTATATTACATCGCCTCTGATAGAAAACTATGTCTATCCTGAATCGATAGCACATACGTCTTCTTCTCTACATTGTTATCATTACGGATTGACGTATCGGTTGCCTCAGTGACATCCCTCGAGGAGTTAGCAAAGATGAACATATAATAAATAGTGTACTCTGGCAAGGAATATTGAACGAATTACTTCGTTTCACCCACTTCAACTCAGCGTCATCATGTATAGGAAGAATTGCATTTTTCTAAGAAACTCGGGCGAGAAAATGTCAAATTTTAGTAAACTTCCAATCTTGAACCCAATCAGGAGGCGATCGAATGAATGCGGAGTCCCCGATGAGGAAACTCAAGTGTATGCAAGATTTGCAAGTGGCTAAGATATGTGATCATCATTCTCAGTGTGCAACATTGGTCGTCATTTTCTCAACTAAGGTGATCATATTCCCTTCATAATGTCATATGCTAATCGTCGTCGTTCCCGTTCCCGTTCGAGGGACCGTTACGGCGGTAACTTCAGGGTGAGTGCCGCCTCTACTTGATGATTGCTCATTTACCACTTCTTAGGGTGGTTATGATACTGGTGGCTTCGGAGGTGGTGGCTTTGGTTATCCTGGAGGAGGAGGAGGGGGAAGCACCTCTTTTATGAATTCTGGTCTCGGGGCTCGATTGCATTCTCAAGTAAGCTCATCTCACTGATCTCCCTTTATTGCAGTGCTCTCACTGTGTTCTCTTTATTGCAGTGCTCTCACTGTGTTCTCTTTATTGCAGTGCTCTCACTGTGTTCTCTTTATTGCAGTGCTCTCACTGTGTTCTCTTTATTGCAGTGCTCTCACTGTGTTCTCTTTATTGCAGTGCTCTCACTGTGTTCTCTTTATTGCAGTGCTCTCACTGTGTTCTCTTTATTGCAGCCCTCTCACTGTGTTCCCTTTATTGCAGTTCTCTCACTGTGTTCTCTTTATTGCAGCCCTCTCACTGTGTTCTCTTTATTGCAGTGCTCTCACTGTGTTCTCTTTATTGCAGTGCTCTCACTGTGTTCTCTTTATTGCAGCCCTCTCACTGTGTTCTCTTTATTGCAGTGCTCTCACTGTGTTCTCTTTATTGCAGCCCTCTCACTGTGTTCTCTTTATTGCAGTGCTCTCACTGTGTTCTCTTTATTGCAGTGCTCTCACTGTGTTCTCTTTATTGCAGTGCTCTCACTGTGTTCTCTTTATTGCAGTGCTCTCACTGTGTTCTCTTTATTGCAGTGCTCTCACTGTGTTCTCTTTATTGCAGTGCTCTCACTGTGTTCTCTTTATTGAGTGTTGTTTCTCTCAGGATTGGAGCCACATCCAATTGACTAAGTTTGAGAAGAATTTTTATATCGAGCATCCCAATGTAAGCCGCCTTACTCCTGAGGAGGTTGATAACATCAGACGGCAACACGACATCACCATTGTGGCTGGCCGCAATGTCCCCCGCCCTGTTGGTAAGCTGTGTAGGCTATTCTATCATGTGTTTTTGAAGTTTTCATTTCAGTTACTTTCGAGCAAGCTGGCTTTCCTGATTACATCCTGCACGAGCTCGCCCAAGCTGGATTCGTTGCTCCTACTCCTATTCAAGTACCACACTCCGGTGAACATCATTTAAATTGAGTCTTTCGTTGTAGATACAAGGTTGGCCAGTTGCTATGTCCGGTCGTGATATGGTTGGTATCGCTGAAACTGGGAGTGGCAAGACTCTGGCCTTCCTACTACCTGCTATAGTTCATATAAACGCTCAACCGTATCTACAACGTGGTAAGTTGACAAAGTTCTTATGCTGAATAAATGGAATTATGCTCGTTGAAATCGATAAATACAAAGCATTTGTCGAATGAGTACTTCTTCTCTGATTGGAGTTGAAATTGACAAGGGAGTCTACTCCGCGAGATATAATCAAGTTCGAACCCTAGGAATGGGGAGAGTCTATCCGAATTCAATCAATAGTGTCCGACTAGCAGCCGTTCCATGGTGTGCACTACACACGTAGGAATACACAGCATAAGCATTGCCCCTGCATGGGGCTGGTTGATCGATAATGTTGTATTAACTTTAAGGTGATGGACCTATTGTCCTCGTTATGGCTCCAACGAGAGAGTTGGCAGTACAAATCCAAGAGGAATGCAATAAATTCGGCAAGTCATCTAAGATCAAGAACACCTGTTGCTATGGTGGAGTTCCTAGAGGGCCTCAGGCTCGAGATCTGTCGGAGGGGGTAGGTTGGCAGGTGGAGAATCTGTTCTCAAATGTGGGGAAGTATGTATATGGTCAACCACATGTGTTGGTGATAAAAAATCTGAGGGAATTTCTGAAATTATTGTTGGTTTTTGCAAACTTATACCCTAATTCGTGTGTGAACACTTATGATTAGTAAGGAAACTCCTGAGCTCAGCTGAGGAAAGCGAACATCCGTGGAGCTCCAAATTTGCAGGTTGAGATATGCATTGCCACTCCTGGCCGACTCATTGACTTTTTGGAGTCGCAGAGAACCAACTTGCGCAGAGTTACTTACTTGGTCCTGGACGAAGCCGATCGTATGCTGGATATGGGCTTTGAACCGCAGGTATGCACAGTTACGTGAATGATCTGCTCACCTTTAGTGTGGGAAAATATATGTCATTATAGAGAACCTATAATGTTACCGGTGCAATTCATTTTGAATTTTCCACAAGGCTAGCAATAAGTTGTTTCCGTGGAAATGTCATCACTTTAGGCACAGTTTCTTCATTGCTATTGAACTCTGGGGAGCTATTCTTTTTTTCAAAGATAGATTTTTCAAGCATGTAGTTTACCATTGGTCAACTAGATGTGTTGGTGAGAAGAAGAAATTCTGAGAAAATTTTAGGGAATTCTCATTGGTTTCTGTACACCCAGTGAGGAAACCCCCGAGCTCAGCTGTGGAAAGTGAACATATATTCCTCCAACGCTGTTGACTTCAGATTCGCAAGATCACATCCCAGATCCGTCCCGATAGGCAGACGTTGTTGTGGTCGGCCACATGGCCTAAAGAGGTGCAAGGGTTGGCTAGGGACCTGTGTCGTGAGGAACCAGTTCATATTAATGTTGGTACTCTCACTCTCAAGGCCTGTCATAAGTGAGTGCTCAACGTCAACATGAGAGGGTATGGTATTTGTCTTAGTGTAACGCAGTATGTGGACGTTGTCCAAGAGTATGAGAAGAGGGACAGGCTGAAAGTCCTTCTGGAAAGGGTCATGGACGGCTCCAAGTTGCTCATTTTCACTGATACTAAGAGGGGAGCCGACGACCTCACTAGAACACTGAGGTGTATATGGTGTTTGAAATTGCCCTTTATATTTGTGAATTTTAGGATGGATGGTTGGCCAGCTCTTTGCATTCACGGTGATAAGAAGCAGGAGGAACGAGATTGGGTAGTGTATTGTTGTTGTTGGTGATGTTTTGTGAGTGTGATGTTGTAGGTGCTCCATGAGTTCAAGTCGGGGAAGAGCCCTATTATGATCGCTACTGATGTCGCTAGTCGTGGACTAGATGTGAAGGACATACGCCATGTTGTTAACTATGACTTTCCAGGCCAAATCGAGGATTATGTCCACAGAATTGGTAAGCGTAGGATTACGTGCGACTGCCTATTTGTGAACAACAGGTCGTACGGGACGAGCTGGGTGCAAGGGAAATGCCTATACGTTTTTCACTCCTGATAAGATCAAGATGGCTAGGGACCTGGTTCAGATCCTCCGCGAGGCAAACCAAACTGTAAGTTCCCGAGCAGTGTATGGTGTCACAGAGTTTTTCAAAAAGGTCTCGCCCGAACTTGAACGCCTCTCATTAACAGTTGGTGGCTTTGGAGGCGGCGGTAGGCGATGGGGAGGGGGAGGGGGAGGAGGGGAGGAGGTGATTCATCAGCTTGTCAATTTCGATTGGATGTTGATTGTACTTTTATCAGGTTATCGTCGCTACTAGAATGTAAACTGTAAAGTAATAATGTCGAAGGAGTTGCATTCGCATCACAAGATAGCAGTTTATGTGAGTAACCGTCGTCCCTGATCTTGGCATGTTATCTTAATTGGAGTTCATCGCTGATACTTTACTTATCTAGTTAGTGAGCGTTGGACCCTCCCCGTCCTAGTACGGCCGTCCTCCCGATCGGCTTGCCGCCTTCCTCCTTATGATGCTGGTCTACTAGTGACCGCGAATGGCAGTGGTTTTGAAGGCTGGTGGGCTGATCGAGATGGACGGTCAGTTGTGGAGGGGTAGGACTGTAGGTGAGGTTATACTAGTTTATGCTCGGGCTGTGCTTTTATGAATGTGAGTAATCTGTAATTGTTCTCAGGTTGGTCGGTGAGAACGTCTATTACTACTTTTCCCTCGAGGCGATAATTGATTAGAATTTTATTGTTAGTTTTAATCATTGTATTTGAAAGAACGAGCAGTGGATACCGAGATGGGGGTGTGACTGGTGATAGTTACTACATGCCGCATGCCGCCGCGTGTAGGGCCTAGCACTCACCGTCTCTCCCGTCGTAAGCAGTAGAAAACTGCTCAATGGTGCTCGTTCGAAGAGGCAACAGTGTTGTGTTCAGTCAAACGTATCTTGCGTCTTCGAGCTTCCCGTAGACTGAAGGTATGTCGAACTGAGATGTTCGATTTTGTGACGTTATTACTTTAATCAGGATGATTATAGTATTCACCAGCGGAATATTAATGATAATGAGAATGGCCATTATCCTCCTGATATGAGAGTGAGCATTACTAGAATTGTCTCTGCTGGGGACAGCTGACACAATTGGAGTCGTGGCTAAATCACGGGTATTGTGGATGTCTTAGAATGTGTTGTATAGTACCCTACAGTTTGTTAAGCTTTTGGTAACTCTTATGATGGTAGAGTTGGGAGCGTTAAGTGTTTAACGAGTAGTCATAGTCGCATTCGTTGAACCACTGGCCATTTGGAACACAGAACAAACTTTGGTCAGTTGTAGTCGTTCAAGTGTCTTACTAAGGAATGTTTTCACGGTTGTGTTAGAGCTTAGGAGATGTTAATACTGCTAACTGAGACTATTGATTCTAAATAGATCGGAATATTACCTCATCATAATGTGCACGGAGGGAATTTTCTCTGAAATTCGTTACAGATTATTGATTATTCGGTACGACTATTCAGCCCACTTCAAACAGGTGAATACGAGAGAAAGTATATTGTAAGTTCTAGAAAGGAGTTTACTGAACGCAAATGGAATGAATTCTGCCGCTCTGTCTAGGAGGTGCGTAGTACGCCGCGTAGTGGGTAGGTTGGAAGATTTGACCTACTCGGGAGAAATCTGGACATTTTGAGTCTCAAATTGTGAAGATTGTATTTTTTAAATTGTTCGACAGTTACATAACGAGGTGAAGTTGGGACTGATACATACTAGCTATTCTAGAATGAGTATGATAAATTGATTAGTTTCTAGTTTCTTTTATGAGTTAATATGAGATACTTGGGATGACTTTCACCCCAGATATCCTTAGCAAAAACTCCTTCCCATTAACAATACAACACAATATCAAGGGGAACAAATCTCGAAGATATGATCTATGCTCGCGACTATATACTCCGTTTGCGATTCTAAGGTAACCTTACAGAGTGCGTGTTGATGTTCGCTGTATACTCAACCCGTTCGACCAACTTGATCTTGCATTTAGTCACCAACACGGTGAAGCAAGTACACAACAAGTATATGGATAGCAGATAACGTCACAATACGGAGTGTGAAGAAGCGCATGAACGACATTTGCGCTCACGGGTTCCATTAAACTCCTACAGCGTATTATTGCTGGTAATGGACATATCATCGCCAATTACTATCTATCGAAATAGATGTGTAACAGAGTACGTAACGATATTATACATGAGATAAGGTCCCTAGACGGAAAACGGCGATTCTGAGGAGACAATGCACACAGCCAAACAATATTCGATGAAGATCCTCCCGCAATAAGTTGGATAAGAGTAAGCATTCACTGGTACTGTATGACCTTAGTAGGATAGTGTAATCATCAACATTGCACTTATACCCCCGATTAGAACGGGTACTAGAGAGAGACGTATTATATGGGTACCGTGGATTGACTAGAGATGCCGAACAGGAGACTATATGATGACGAATTTCTTTATGATGAGAACATTAGCAACGATTCCTCCCTCTGCGGCTTTGCGCCTTCCGGGAAATATGACAAGACTGATAGCGAAGTGCCACTTCCATGGAACGCTGTTTTTACAGCATCCTCATGAATGCACTCTAAATAGACTACACTGATAATACGTACCACGCTTCATTCAAAAAATATAACATCGTCATTGAAGGATACACATTTAGCCAGGGTGGCTGATGTGGACGCTGATGATCGTCGGCTACAACACCCAGAACCTGTGGTGTCATCTCCCTGAGAAAATTAGTAGCGAGATGCACACAATATACTACTGGCCTTACACGAATCGCATTTTCAAGTGTTAGACTCTCAGTCGTTGCCTCTGTTAGTAGAGCCGGGCTCGTTGGCGACTCGAAATAAAAATCTATACTTTGATGACTATTCGTCGTCATGGCATTGAATATAGCGGTCCAGAGAGGTAGGAGCAAAGGATCTCGGGGCTCTAGATCATCAAGAACATAAAACATTTGTGCACGCCATACCTCTGATACCTACACAACAACATACAAGAAACGACTTCAGCGATATAATACTACGATTTTCCGAGATGAAGTGTGAGCACAGTCAACACGAGTGATTATTGCGGCTTCAGGCATATCCTTCAGGGCACATGCTGCCTCAGACGGAAGGATCATTCTCCTATTGCTGCTTGCAGTGTCACCAATCATCTGAGCACATATGAGACTATAGCTAGTACTCGAACACAACAGAGAGATGGCGAGAAGATAACAACAGACGATATTTAAGTAGGAGAGGAAGGTGTGCTGACTGACTAACCACGACAATTAGGCCATCATTTCCAGAGTTGGCAAACAAACCAATACGATAGTTCTAAATGTCCACCAAATAGAAAATGACGATCGCGGTTTTTGCTCTCAGGAGCAACATACAGTGTATATTCCGATAACGTTTATACAAAGACAAAACCGGTAAAAACCTCTCAGACTACCTCCACTACACTGAATATCATAGATAAGTGTTGTTATCAACTCAGACGAAACCAATAAGACTAATAACAAGTGTAAAAGATACGTATTCCTGTACGACACTAGCCAGAACAGGACAACAGGATTGATGATATCCAATAGAAGAGTAGAATACAATGAATGGTCGTATAAGTGTACACTATCCAACTACTCCATTAACAACAGCAGCCTTCCCAGGTGACCGCGTCTCCGCTCCTTCCTTGGAGATCTGCGATGAGTAAAGCTCATCAGATGACACTCCAGTAACAGTGGGTGCCTCCGAACACCGTGCTGATTCCTGTCTAGCAGCATCCGATATACCATAAGGCTTCTTATACGAGATTTCATCAGGTATCGCCAGACGATCAGAAGTGCCCTCATATTGTTCGAATAGTGCCGTCGGCGGCAATGCATCAGTGATGCTCTTAATCCTAGACATTTTCCTACCAATAGTCTGCTCACTCTGAGGACGAGACGCCACTGCTGAGTCAACCACCATACCAATCGACTTCAACCGTAAGTGATTGGAATCAGTATCATCCCTTTCTAATCTGAGGGCCCTCAAAAACTTCTCATAATCAATCTCGCCGTTCTCGTCAACCTCGCCCTCCCGGAAGAGCTCTTCCGCGTCCTCTGCGTCTTTTCCCAAGATAGCCAATACATCATTAACATTCAATTTACCAGTGCCTTTAACATCAAAGGCCCGGAAAGTATCCCGTACCAAATCTTCGTGAAACTTTACTCGATTCAATAGCATAGCAGCGACAAACTCTGAATATTCTATCTCGCCATCACCAGACTGATCCAAGACGTTAAACATGTGCTCAATCTCCCTATTGGAGATGTCCAACTTCCCTTTCATCACTTCAACCATATCAGACAGTTTAATAACTCCTTTTCTTTCCGTGTCCAACGCCCAAAACTGAAACTTCAAATCGCTTATCTCGTCACTGGTGAGGCTGTACGCCATCATACACATAGCAGCTCTCCTGAAGTGCGAACACGCCGCATAACGCCGCATAGACTCCAACACTTCATCACCAATCTGATATGAACCGCACACCTTCGAAGATCGCCCTACGATCCACGGATGTTGCAATGCCTCTGAGGCCGACATCCTTTCCTCGGGATCGCGTATCAAAAGTCTGCGTACAAAGTCTTTAGCTTGAGGGGAAATATTCGCCCACTTTTCCTCGGGCATTTCGTATTCACCTTCCTCAATGCTAACCAACATATCCCTTTCCGGACCATGAAATGGTGGCGATCCACTCAGTAGCATATATACGATAACACCTAGCGACCACAAATCACACTTGTTGGTGTAGGAGCCCTCCAGAACCTCAGGAGCTACATACGCTACGCTACCACAAGATTGGTGCATACGACGAGATGGATCTATAATCTTGCTAAAACCAAAGTCGATGAGCTTGAGCGTAGCATTCTCATCTTTACTATCGTAGAGGTAGTTCTCAAGTTTGATATCCCTGTGCACAACATTATGTGCATGCAGATACTTCAACGGTAGTAGCATTTGGTAAGTCGTCTCGGCCGCCACCGATTCGGAGAAGTGTTGGCCTTCCTCAGAGACCAGACGATGGTAGAGCTCCTTACCTTTGCAGTATTCCATCACGATATGAACAAATTTGTCATCCTCGAAAACTTCATGTAAGCGTGCGATGTTAGGATGGTCCAACCGTAAGTATATGTCGACCTCACTTTTCAGTAGAGCCATTTTCTTGCTACTGATGCGCTTCTTCTTAAATGACTTAACCGCGAAGGCCTTATTTAATCGCCGATTTATAGCCAACCGGACCGGACCGTTGTAACCGCTACCGATCACTCGACTCTCGAAGTGATAAAACTGCTCTATCGGCTCATAACGTATCCGAGAGCGCTGGACGACAGTGGGATGGGCATGGCTTTTACTGGCAGCGGCCTTCATGATGGCGTTGCGGGTAACGTCATGATTATCGAGTCCGGACCCTACAAGGGTCGAGCTGTGGCAACCCATTCAGATTTACAAAGTAAGAATAACTGAAACAATCGATGAACTCAATCTAGAGCTAGGAAACAAATATAGAACCGCAAGTAGAAGTGGTTTCACTTTAATAGTGCTCAGACAAGTACTAAATGTTCATTCTGACATATACAGCGGTTCCGTAGTAGATCCTGGACTCCAGCATTGACCTGGCAACCATCACAAGACCGATCGGGTGGCTAGCTGCATGCAGAGAGGAAGAGAAGATGAATGATATAATCTTTAGAAGAAAGGCAGCAAGTCGGGGTCACACGAATTCGATTCTAGTGAAATTCGAAAACATATCGGAAGTAATAGCGTGCGCCATTGTAATCGATAAAGTTCCCAAGAGTTGTGACCATCCCCATCGACGCTTCCGCACTGTATTTTCTCTTACTTGGCCGTTGTTGTTGTTCTTATCGGTAGTACCTCCACATACTTGTGTGAGTGGTGAAGAAAGTATTCTTATCTCGACTACTACAGTGAGCGGCATCCATTCCCTTTCCTTCAGTGACAAGGAGGAGGATCTCCAGTCGGCATGTTTGATGGGTCCATACATCTACTCTGTTCGAGTAATGTTGTATTACCTCTTATCATCCGTTTATGGATACTTGGGCGTTATACCAGAATGTGGGGGGAGAAGTCAGTGAGAGGCTTATGTTTCGTTCATGGTGGACTGTTTGCAACTGGGGTCCACGGCCAGATCAGGGAGTGGTCTACCAGTACTGCTAAGGAAATGTAGTGATGGGATAGTGAAAGTGTCAGTGTGGGGGAGGGGAATATGCACATGGTCAACCACATGTGTTGGTGAAAATTCCAAGGAAATTTCGGAATGTTATTTTTGTGCACTTCTACCCCAATTCGTAAGGAAACTCTTGAGCTCAGCTGAGCAAAGCAAACATATATTCCTCCAATACTGGGAAGTGTAGTAGACGATCTGACTTGGGCATTTAGGGGAACGTATCCACCCAACGGTGGTGCTATAAGAATATAAGCCTATAAGCCTATATGAACAAGCACCTATTTTCAGCCTTTTTCAGCCTTAAGAGCCTATTTTCAACAGGGATGATGTAGTAGACGATTTTACTAGCACCTATAAGCGGATTTATATCAACGGTGGTGCTATATGGCTGTTGACGAAGAAAAGAGGCTCTCGGCAGTCTCCACTGAGAGTGGTGCTATTCCTATGTAATGGCGATGGTTTGGTGGTAGTCTACACGACAGTGTTGGAAAATATGCATTTGGTCGGTCACATGTGTGGGCGAAATAGTTTGGATTTTGGGAGATTCTTTTGCACTCCTATTCGAATTGGTATATAGACTTGTGTGTTCGTGGAAACTCCTGAGCTCAGCTGAGGGAAGCGCTTATATGTTCCAGCACTCCCCTCGTGGCAGTTGGGTATAGATACTCCTTGGGTCCGTCTGGGTCTACCACTTCAACCCGCTTGTGAGAGCTCAGAGGGGAGTACCAGACAGCTAAGAAGAGAGGCGGTGCTGGGAGCACTCGAGCGATGTCGGTTGGCTTCGGAATGCCTACAGAGAGTGACAGTAGCCATCGGACAGTATATGCTGGTTATGATGGAGGAGTCGTCAGTGAATGGCGACTCGAGATTAAGGAAGGAGATGATGGTAATGTTCTCAGGGAGTGGTATGGGTCGTGATGTATGTTGTCGATAATATTGTTACATACTCCACGCTAATACCCGATGTGTGCTGATACGCTGAGAACTTCCATGCAGAGGTTATTGAGATATCTATCGCATCAAGTCTCGGGTTCGAATCCCACAGGGTGTATTTTTCAGCAACTCTGGCATCTCTGGGCTACACCGTTTGCGTATCGGACAGTATGCGCAGATTGGCTCAACGGTCCGAACGCAGGCATAAAACGGTCAAGTGACCTCAGTCGAGACCAGACCTAGGAAGGGACTGACGGTAAGGTTGTTTTGTGACTCCCCCCGGAAGAGTATATTGGGAATTAACGATAGCCTCACGTTAGCAGGCGATATCAACTATAATGAGCCCTCCCTTGTTACAGCTGTTTTCACTGTGGTCAAGAGTCGCTTTTCTAACGACACTGAGTCATGACGATGGGAGGATTCGCACGTTCTCGGTAGGCCAGTGTTGTCGATCCTGGGTGTGCATCCCTAGACCTACGACTCGTAGGCTACGAGACTGGCTGCATGCTCTTACTGATACCGTATCAGCTAGGGGAGTTACGGAGGCCAATGCTCCCCCTAAGAAGCCTCGGTGGAGGGCCAGCTCTGCAGTGGATGGTATAGTTGACGCCTCTGAAGGGCTGGACAGATCATCGCTGGTAGGTTGAGGATGGTTGATATTCTCTGTATGGCATTTTTGATAGGTTCCATGCTCGGTGATAGATGAGGCTGATATTGACCAGCAACTACCGAATGCATTTGACCGGAAACGATTCTATCGTTGCGCCCGGTTGTTAAACAGTTGTTGCTTCGCTCCGCTGTTCTTTACAGATGTCCTCACCAATTACTGTGGTCATGGTGTTCGTACCAACGTAAAAGCGTTGTCTATTCCAACTGCAACTCATCCGAGTGATACACTGTATACGTTGGCTCTTACTTGTGATGCTTTTCCAATCATGTTATCGCTATGTAATGAGCCTTGCGCTGTCAATACCGACTGTGGAGAGAAAGTTACTCAATGCGGTTGAGTGTGATGACATTGCTTTTGTGATACGCTCTGAACTCCTCAGGGGCGACGACTTGATCGCACCACATCTTATCTATCGGGAAAAGGTGTAGTAGTAAAGCCTGATCGCACGACCGAAGTAGTTGAATAGTGTCTTGGCAGTCAGTCGTCATTCGGATAAACTAGCTTGGTGGAGGTTAGGTTCGGGTGATAGGTGGTCGTTGCCGTCACCATTTTGTATCTAGGAACGGATCTCCGTCTGCAGTTTAGCGTTTATGATCATATTCCTCCTCGATGGCGGATCGATCACTGACAGCTTCATCATCCTCGGGAGGTCAGGGACCTCTACATGAAGTCCCCGGGTCGTCGAGGAAAGCTGTCGACCCTGAGCTTGCCGCCACGGTTATCAGAGACTACCTATTACCACTCTTCCAAGAGGGCAATAAGCCGATACATTATGCTAAGGTCGGCCCTGGACATGGCGTCAACGAGAGGCTTTGAACAGGTTCGGGCTGGGTTGATGGATGACCCAGCAGCAGGGAAGAGTTTCCCCTCGGTGATCCGCTCGGCAGCTTCGTCGCTGTTCTCCTCACGCGAGGCCAACGGTCGAAAGAGTTCTCCTGTGGGGACATCAATGCTCGAAGAAATGGTAAGCTCTATGTATGGGTATGTATGCGACTGTAACTAGAGAGAAAGAGATCGGCTTGTATCACCCGTGCACTGAAGGCAGCTGCTGATAACTTTGTTTCCTTCCAGCTTCTCTCTACTCGGTTGCTCGACGAGATAACGGAAGCGCGAGACACAATATCGGCGTTGGAAAGTCAACTGGAAACCAGCGAGGTAACCAGAGAGGAATGTCATGTCACTGGGCAGTTCATTGTAGTTTGAGCGCAATGGGATGGAGGAAGAGTACCGAGTTTTGCGGCAGAGGTTTCGCAGTGTAAAGAAAGAGATGAAGACTACACAGTATCAGTACAACACTCATCGAGTGAGTTAACAGGTTACTGGGGGCGTCATTATGAAGAGCTGAGCCAAGTGGTCCTCCCTTGTTGTTACCCGCTACACCTTATTCATCTACTGAGCTGAAGTATATTTCGGCCTCTGTGAACTGTGTAGTGGAAACGGCGAACGGCGATGTGTATCGTTCATGCCGCTCAGTCTTTGAATGTTGAGCTGTACTTCTGATAGAACCGTTTCTGTGGGCGATGGATTTGGTGTCAGGCACGGAACGCCGAGTTGGAGATAGAAGGACGAGCGCTGCGAACTCAGGCTGGGGAAATGAATGAGGAAATGGAAAGAATTGCCTCTGCCAACGCCGATTTATCAACAGTAACATGATCGGGATATTGGGAATAGGTATGGACGTGCCGGGGTTCGAACCCGGGGCCTTCTGCATGCAAAGCAGACGTGATACCACTACACCACACGCCCTATAAATAATTTGTTCCATCCACGAGAGGTACTCACAAAGTATCTGCAAGACAATCCAGGAGTTTTTAACTTTCAAACCCTCAAGTTGCGGGCCGCAACTCTTCACATCCCACCCTCCGGGGATCTGCTCGTATCTGTCAATTCCGATTTAGGAGCTCTACGGAACCGAACGACGAATTGAGCGGCTGACTCACGATTTATCGGAGAAACGAAGTATAACTAACGTGGCCAAGCTTCAGAGCGAGGTCCTCGCGGAGCAGGTAGCTGAACATACCTGTTCCACGGTGGAGCCTCCACCTAGTAAATTGCACTCAGCCAGGTGAAAGCGCTGCAGGAAGCGGCGACGGAGCTTGGTGGCATGAAGGAGTGCCAGGATAGACTCAAGCATGCTCAGGAAACAGCCACGGTCGGAATAGCGGAGGTCGACGAGAGATTCTAATTTTGGGTCCCTAGAAGAAACTCCTGGTAGATTACTGAGTTCAAGGATGAATTGGAAATCGAGACCGCACGAGTGATGGAGGAAAGAAACAGCTTGTTGGAGAAGGTGTATGGTTGTGTACTTGGCGACCTCTCGACCGTCTCTCGATGAACAGGGAGGACCTTATCTTCACAAAAGACAGTCTGACTAGCGACAAAACTAGACTGCAAACAGAATTGGACGAGCAGGCAAGTCGCAAGTGGTGATTCTCATGATGAGATGTGAAGGTGTTAGAAAAAGACGGCAAAGGCACAGATAATAGACCTGTTCGAGGAGATGACTGCGATACGAAAGGACAGGGATAAGATGGAGAGAAAAACTAAGGTGTGAGGCGATTACTCGCACATCGCTCTCAATGCAGTATGCAGGATCTGCAAGAAGACCGCGATAAACTGAAGCAACGGTTGAAGAAATACTACGCCAGACGACGCTTGTTTGAGATCGATCAGCGAACGTGAGACAGTGGTTAAACTTCCGATGAGGAACTCTGGCGTCTATCAGGTGTAAGAACTGCAATAAGGAGTACATGGAATCAGCTAACTTCAACTGGAGTTGCCGAACGCATCAGGTCAGTACTTGCTTGACTACCCATGAACACCTATCATTGGCTGGCCGATAGTCAGAGTTCGGCGGTGAGCTCTGGTGGTGTTGCGGTAAGACGGGGAAAGATGCTCCCGGATGCAAGTTTGCGAAACATGAGTCCAAAGTGGGGAACCTCGTCATTGTAGCTCAACCATAGCAGATGTTCAGGACGAAGATGAGTACAATACCTTATTAGATGAGGACGATGTTGACGAAGAAAATGGTGATGCTAAAGTACCCTCCCTGAGTGATGGGTGTGGGCATGTTGAGAGTTAGGAGGAAACCGGAGGAGCCGGGGAGAAAAACAGGAAGCATAAACCACGACGAAATGTGCGATGTTTCTCATGCAAGGAAATGGGGCATTCAGCTGAGGCGTGCCCGAAGGACCCCAATATGAGAATCGTTTGGGGTAAGGCAGACCATACAGCGTGATGCATACAAGGCCTTAAATCACTTCAGATGGTCATTTCCAGGGCGCTAGGGAAATGAGACGACTTGCGATATTACGTACAGTGGCAAAGGCTAGCGGAGCGAAGCAGGCCTTCACTGCTATTAAACCGGGGGACCAACGGAAATCATCAACACGCAGCGAGAAGGCTAACACTATCAATACACACCTACAGTCAGCTCTGGTCAGCCCAATGCATCGATTGGATTTGCGACAGATACGAAGCAGTAGAGGTGATAGCCTTAGCCGACAAGGCCGACTTTGATGATATTAACTCGAGTATAACGGAGAAAGTAGTGAATTGCTGATGGTATGGTATGCTTTATATTCATACAACAGTTGGTGGAAAGGAGCGCCATGACAGCGACGGCGATCACAGCACCTGCAGATAATAGCACTCATAGTAATCTATTTGCCACGCTTTGAAATAAGGGGCTCCATCCTCAGCGATTAACCTGACAAAGTCGGTCGATGGTCCTACGTAGAGGATGCTCTCTCGACTTGAGTGAGCTGCGGTTGGTCGCATGTACGCATATTGATGGTGTTAGTATTAGGCAAAGGTGATAGCAGCCGAAAACATGCCTAGTATTCGATACCATTGCTTCTCATCCTGGCGTTTCCAAGGTATAATCTCCTTCATCGTGTTGGGGTTCATCATTCACTTGGGTGGCTATGTGATAGAAGTATACAGGCTTGGTCATCACCCCTCGAGTTCTGCTCCTGCAGTGCTTTATACATATTACACCGTTGAGGTCGTGGTCATGGGGCCTTCATTTTCCTCATAGTTTCCTAACAATGTCTCAATTCCCATGATTGGTTTAGAACCAGTTGAGACCAGCATCATCAGACGTCGTGCTCAGGAACATGTTAGAGCTCAAGGGCGGCCTCCTATTGTAGCGAAACCACTTGGTGAAAACGAAAACGAGTTGCACGCAGATACGTTCACAAACGTTCCAAATCCCCTCTCTCGGGGCGATCGGAAGAAATCCACTGTGGAGGGCGGCAGTAGAGGACGATTCTGAGGCTTTACAGTCCTTGTTGGTCGGGGACCTCCCTGATGCTTCTGTAGAGCCGCCTGTCAGTGATGCCCAATCCAAGATCTATCATCCTGTTGTCAGTCGCGTAGTGGAGCGATCACGGCCCTGGTGAACGCGAAGAGCCGAACAGGAGATACTCTGCTTACCTTAGCCGCAAAGCACAACAGTAGGGGAGTGTTGAACATCTGAGATCGATTGTGACGATCAGGTCGGAAGTGCATTGAAGTCCTTACTAGACTTGGATGTGATGTGAATGCTCAAGACGCCAGCGGTCGGACAGCTTTCTTCATTGCATGTGCTAGGAACAATGTCGCAATTGCCAAGCATCTGTAAGGAAGCAGCTCCGTGAGTTGATGCATTCCCATTGTTGCTAGCTTTCACCGTGCGGCCTGCGACCCGGACATCGTCGATGATGGCGGCTTCACGGGCTTCGCTTCAGCTCTACTGTTTGGCAATGCTGAGATAGTTCGATGGTGGCTAACGAGGGTAGGTTCGGAACACACGACTCGTGTGACACGAGTGAATCCCTACTGTCTGCTTCACTCAGGTGTCGAGGAGCGCTGCCACTGACGAGATTCCCGGCCTGTCCAACACGGCATCGTGGAGTCCTTTCTTGCTAGCAGTACATCTGGGCCACTTTGAGATAGTGAGATCGGTGTGTAAGGTCTTGGAAGACGCCTTTGGTTCAGGTAAGGACACTCTCCCAGTACATCGGAAAGGTTTCGATGAATGCCAAGGATGCGGAGGGGCGGGGGGCGCTGTTTCTGGCAGCTTTTGGAGGCAGACTTGAGCTGGCCGAGTAAGTGATTGCGGCAACACTCAGAGTGCCTCGGTTTGATTAGGTTCATTTTGTCACTTGGCATTGACCGATCACAGCTGACACAGCCAGCTGCCTATGGGTTAACACCTTTATGGGTGGCCTCATGTGAGAATGACGCTGTAGCTGGGCTCGATGTCATCTTCATAGGCCGAGGTCATCTCAAATTTGTCCGCTGGCTCCTCGAGGTCACTGATGCTGATGAGTCCATCGTGAACGCAGTAGATTCACGTGGAGTTACTCCGCTGTAGCTGAACATCTACATTTAGAAACGTCATTTTCTTGAGGCTTCAGATACGTTGCAGTGGAAAACGATCGCGTTGATGTCGTCGAATGCCTCACTGCTCACAATGCTGATGTTAATAAAACACCCTACAAGGTAAAGAGGCTTAAATTCACTAACACGGATTGACGTACTCAGACATTCTCGCCAGCGATACAGGCTTGCGCAAGAGGCAATCTGTCGATGTTACAAACATTAATGAGAACAGGGCAGGTTTATAGGAATGACGCTATGATGATCGAAGCGGCCAGGTGAGCGGAGACAGCACGCCGTGATGATGATGATGATGAACATGGTTGGGCAGGTTCAATGGATATGAAGATGTGGTTCTTTGGATCCAGATGACCAGAGGATACTTCACAGCACTTCATTATGCTCGCGAGCTAACGTTTGATCAAGTGCGGTGTCTCTTCAGTGATTGCCATCGTAGCATGAGTTCCAGGTATTGGCGCATTTACGTGGGGCTGATCCGAGGCAATCAGACATTCGATCGAGAATACCAATAGCATACGGCGAGCTGCTTGGGCCCAGCTCCCTTTCGCTAGCTCAACAATGCATCAATACACCACTGGTAGCATTCAACAATAAGGCTGCTCATTTAACTGCTGAATGCCTTCAGGACGATGACCGACTCGAGTTGATAAGAAGGGCCGCCAATGAGCTGTGGTCACCGAAAACTCACTGGCTCTTCGATCTCAAGGCCAGGACGTTCGCGTGAGCTAACGGAGCAGAAAGGGCCATAAAAACGTTGTTCTCAGAGGTTTCCTGGCGAGAGTTGGACGATGGCTGGCATGTCCTAGTCACCTGCAAGAATCTTATCGACCCCTCTATCTCCCTTATGACATATGGAGTATGTACATTATGCCCATGGCAATTTCCCGTAAGGATATCGGCAATATCATATTGCTGAACGTAAGTATGGGCCAGGCAATGTTGCAGGCACTCGATTCGAACCGAGCAGGGAGTTCCATTACGGGAACCATCCCAATTTCAATCCCTTTGACTCATGATATATTCTGTTTTCTTTTCTTGCCAACGTTTACCAATTCCTCATTCTCATCGTCGCCATATGTATAAATCGAATTATGGCATGACAGTACTAATGGTAGAGTAATGAAGCAGTATGTTGCGTTCATAGGGCAGCAACACAATAGTGAATTCTCTCTGTTGAATACTGTGAACTGTTGCACAATACCTCGTACAAATACCTCTCATGGCGTAATCCTGCGGATTCCACCACTCAGGAATATCTTTTTACTGTGTTGTGTTCCTACTGAAGAATACTCTGAGTAAGGGACTCCAAACAGAGCAGTGACAAGTGTGATGAAGGATAGGCAACCGACGATTCATCTACCGGATCAGTTAGCGACATTAATTTCGACAGGGGTGGAGGCATGTACATTCACGTACTTGATCAATCCCAATCCGAATCTTCAGACGGCAACGACACTACT